CCAACAAATAAAAGGCTATTATTTTAAAATTTGTTTCTATATGGAAATGGAGATGTTAGCACTTATAAAATATACATTAAGGGTTTTTTGATTATTAGTTTAGTAATTTCAGTGCAAATGTCTTGTGGCTAGGTACTTCTATTGCGGATTAATATAGCATTTTCTGATGTAATTCACCAGTACAACAAAAACCCCTCACAGTTAAATAACTTAAAATTACCATTTTAGATTAAAAGAGTATCAAATTCTGAAATAAAGCTACATGCTGAGTATTTCCACTGAAGCAATTAAGTGTGACTTGTAAGGAATTAGGTAATTTTCAATTCTGTGTTTGTAGCTAACCCCATAATTAGGTTTCCATTTAATTTCAGTTAATTAAACAGTTTCCATCATTGCTTTTTCCCATCAAGCTGAATTCACTTCAACTTGTAAATTGAGCAGTGAGAAGACTGAAGGCTAAGTATTTTTTATAAAGGTCTCTCCAGCATGAAATCAAATTCCTGGTGTTGATCTTCAGATGATAGCATAGAGACCACCACCTCTTTATTCAGGTTTCTGCTCCAGTGAGTGAGACATATCTGTTACTAGGCTTTTTGTTGTTATTTCATTACTAGGTCTTTGGATTGATTAATTTTAGTTGGGGGATTATTCTTTTCCTACTGATGGATGTCTTACAAAGGGCTTGTAATAAGCTTATTTTTAAATTAATAATAAGGAAACCAAACAGGAACCAAAACAGGAACTTATTTCTTCTGCAGTCCATATCTCATATGAGGACAATAAAATCCTGTAGTGTAGTATTTATAAATAAAGTTAAGAAAGAAAAAGCAATCTTATACTGCAAGCAACAGTGTTCATAAATACTATGGGAGTGGGGGTGTGTATGTTTCTTGATTGCTTTATTTATTTCTGCTTGATCCTATCTGGTTTTCATCATAAGTTTTAAAAGAATTGTGTTGGGCTTTTTTCTTCCCCTCTAGTTTATGATTTACCTTGGTACTCTCAGCTATGTCATAGAACCAACATATATGAACATCTTTGATTTTGCTAAATTATTTTCCCATTGACTTTTGGTAATAGGTGTAGTGGGGGAATTAATGTCCAGCCTGGAATGTTTTGGGAGAAGAAAAGGTCACTCACAAACTCTGAAATTTTTCAAATATGTTATGTGTTCTGTGCCAAGCATGCTTATTTCTTTTGCAAGCTCATTTTCAAAACTCCCTTCTTTGGGCAGCTTTACTTCCTAATTTGTGTTTTGAGAGTGTATAAAGATATTAACCATTATCCTTGGCATAATAGAAGAAGCTGGTCATCAATAAATGTAAGGATTGATTTCTCAGGTCTTTTTGAAAGGAAAATGTAGTTAGCAACTTTTCCAGGAAATAGAAGGTATTGACTATCTGAGAGAGGACTAGGTATATGGTCTCAGGGCTAAGCCTCAACAACTGACAAAAAGTACTTTTTTTTCCTATGCTTTTTTAGTTATTCTAACATGACTGAAATGAAAAAAGTCCTTAAGAGAAAGTACATTGTTATTTTACCTCATATTTTCATATTACCTTTGCCCTGCTGCATATGCATGCCTCTAAGTATGCAACTAAAGCAAGATTTGCCACAGAGTTCTCTGGATTTCTTGATCACTATGGATTTCTTGTTCCCCTTGAACATCTAGGCCCAACTTTGTTCAGTGATGGGCTGTTTTATGTGTTCTTCTGTTTTGATTCTTGCTGACGTACATTCTTGCAACAGTCTTTGGTTGGAGGAAAACTGTTTAATATGCATTCCTCTGGTAGAGAACTAAGATTAGGTGACTATTTCAGAAGATAGTATTATTGCTAAAGAGAATGGTATTATCCGTCTCTTGAAGGTAACTGAATGAAAACCAAAAGCCTTTTTGGTTCTCCTTTACTTACAAAAAGGGTTTCCTCATTCTGCCTCTTTTAATAGGAGGATGACTGAAGCCTGTGCATGATGCTTTGACTAGAATGTGTTGGAGTTGTAACTGTAGATGCTCTATAAGAATTTCTTAAAGCTTTTACAGCCCTATATTATACAATTATGTGCTTTAACTTCCATATATTCCATATATTTAATTGTATTTTTATAGTTATTTATAGAGATAAATATAAAAAACTGTTTGAGTCAGGAATATGAGAAGGAAAAGGTTATTCGTCTCGTAGAATTATATTGTCCTTTGTTTCTGAGTCACCTAGATCTACCTTTTCTAATACATGTTAGGAAAAAGAAAATGTGCAGTCAGTGTTCCTTTTTTTTTTCCTCTTATTCTCTGTCTTTTGGTTTTGCTCCTCCTGTGATTCTTTATTGTCTCCTTGGTTTATTTTGTGAACATCTCTGGAAAATAATAGAAAGTAACATTGGGGTTTTTTGTAAATCTGCAAATCTTGTCATTGTATAAATTCATAGGAGAATGTTTCAATTGTTTTCACAATCCTTGAGCTGATAAAACACTTGAAAAAAAAAAAAATGGTTCTCTTAACTAAGATCTGTTCATTAAGAAGATAAACTTCAAGTTGCATCTGTATCACATTGTCAGTTTATTATTTTACCGTTGTTTAATACTTCAGTATACTGGAAGAATTCCCAGAATGTCCAGAGTGTTGTCAGACTGTGTGTTTATTTTAGAAAGCATTCTGGTAAGTTTTACATGGAAACCTGAAAAAATATGAGGGATACAGTGATTTCTCTTGCTGGTATTCATGGGGATTTTCATTGTTGCTTTTCTTTTTTTCTTTTTCTATTGTTTTTGTCCATAGTGTTTGGACTAGGTTGGTCTGTTATTGTTCTAATTCTTAAAGATTAAATTTTAAAAATTTATCTAAAAATGCACTAGAGACTATGATGTTTCCTAGAATCATCAGAGAGGCTGAATTCATATATAACTTCTGATTTACATTCTGCTATTTCAGACTTGACTCAGTCTTCTGGTGCTCAGATATGTTTTGGCTTCTATGTAGTCCTTGGGACACAAAAAATTAATTGGACTGTTGTTTTTTTTCAAGAATGCCAAACACATTAAAGGTAATGTAAGAGAGAGGAAATAGCAGCTCATATCTATAACTACAGCTTGTTTTATATGTTACCCTTGACAAATTAACATTAACTTTTGACTGACAAATAAAAATTATTTTCAAAAATAGAGCATTATTTTACAAGAATTATATATTCTTTTTCTTTCTCTTTAAATATTTTAAGTTTCTGCAGTGTTATTCTGGTAATGGTAATGGTGCAAGTTAGTGTAATTTTTTTTATTGATTCCCATAGCCTAAATCTGTGGTAATCTGAGTATGGGTAAATCCCAGCCAAAAAGATAATCTTAGTAAGGTTAAAATATCAGCTTTTTAATTTCTAGTTTGAGATTAAAGGCTTATTTTAATAGATGAATTTATATAGTCAGTCTAGACAGTTTAGTAATAAAAAATATTTTTTACTTGTTTCCTCTTACTGAAATCGATAAGGTGTTTAAGATAGCGACAAATACTTACTTTCTGCGTGCCTATGTAATCACTACCACATTCTCATTAATAATATAAATGCATCTCTTTTCTTAATGCTTACACAAATGCCTTCCTCCACGTATGAAGGATTAATTCTTATACTCATTGTGCTTAGTGTGTCTACAGAGTATAAATAACCATTTGTACAACTGACCTCTCTTCTGTTGGACTCTTCATGCAGAAAAATCATTTAGCAATTATAAAACTTTTGTTTTCTTTTACCAAGTATTTTTTGTAGTCTCTTAACTTGAGAAGCAAGTCAATGCCAGCAATGCTTCTGTAACTATTATTTCTCTTTAAATATACTCTCCTTTAAGACCTCCACATGCACAGCTGACATTGACTTCAGGAAGTGTTCTATAAATTCAGAAGTTGTGAATTTTGCGCATATGATGAGTGGTATACACAACATATTTGTATCTTGTTCTTTAACTGAAATAACGAAAATGGGAAAGCATGGTTTATCTTAAACTAACCGAAGGTTGCTCTCTTATTTTCTCTCCTTTTTCTCTGGTTTTGAGAATTGACACTTTGCCACGGTGAAATTATGAAGGAGATAAATAATCAAACCTATTTGTTATGCTTTCCAATTTTCATTCTAGTCTTACAGCTGATGATTTTCAAATATTTTTCTCCTGAAAAGAATGATTCAGGTTTTTTCTGTTTGCTGGGATGTTATTGTTTCACCCTCCAGCAGGGAATTGTTACTATAGTAACGTGAGGAAACTCAGTAAGAGAAGTCTTCAAAAGCAGGGCAATATCTCAGACACCTAGTTTAGGGTCAACTTTAAATACTATGATATTATAATGCCTAAAATTTCAATATGTGGTTGCAGCAAAGTGATTCAGATAATCAAATGGCTACAAGATTCCCAATCCTGTAACTGAAGAGGATAAATGGCTATTAAGTGACATTCAGCAGGCTTGCATATTAAGTGAGGAGCTGAACAGAACTAGTCCAACAGAAACACTGGGCACAGAGATGGTTCTGAACTCCTGCCTTTCTCTGGCAGTTGGGCATTTGATGCAGCTACTTTACATACATTGGCTCACTCAGGTTCAGAACCTAAGTTCATCTTCTGAGGATAATAACCTAAATAAACATCTAAAATCATAGAATTACGCTTTACAGGGCATGTGGCTGTCATCATTGCCCACCATTTGCCTACTAAGTTAATGGTAATAGCATTTGTCAGAAACCTTTAATCTAAAACCAGTTGATGGAGTTGGAACTTGCACTTGCTGCTTTCCAGAAACGTACCTTAGTAACTGGGCCAAGGGCTAGTTTTGGCCTAGAAGTCCTCTTGAAATTGCTTGGACCTTGAAGGAATATAGCCTACTAATATCAGTCAGCTTAGTAAATCTTGTATTGTATTTGACACCTTACTTTACAGGCTTGTCTACTTGTTTGTGTTTTGTTGTTTGTTTTTGGTTTGGTTTGGTTTGGGTTTTTTTTCCCCCCTTAAAAATGCTCTGTATTTTCAGGTTGGATGAGTTAATTGAAACATTTCTCAAAGATAATGATCCTGATAGCACTCTGGATGTTGGTGCTGATATGCGCAAGATCAAGTATTGCTTCATCCATTTGAAGGTATTTCTTTTGAACATAGATGGAAGTGCTGCTGGCACTGAAAATAGATTTAAGGTGTTCACAGTTGAAAAATGTCAAAAGAAATGCAATACAGTTGAGAGGCATTGGAAAAGGGTAAAACAATTGAACTGTGAAGTGCATGCAGGACAGGTAGAAATTTGAAATTTAGTTGGAAAAATTCAGCAGCATTTTGTTGAAACCCTGACAAAGATCTCAGCATGTAGTGAATTGTAGAAGAGTACTTGAACTTAGTGGAATCAACACAGACATGTTATTTGTATATGGATAGATGTATCCATTTGTATGCCCAGCACTATGGAGGCCTTATTTTGGACAAACTCTGTTGAAAGAAAAAAAAAAAAAAAGGCATAAAATCACCATATCCCTGAATCTGTTACACTAACTCTCCTGATGGTGCTTAAGCCCTTAATCATCAAGCAAACATGATACACTTAAACTGAGAAGAACAAATGAAATTAATAGAGAAAGTGATAGAAGATAATATATACTTTTCCCTGTTTTGGGATATAGTTTTCCCATACAAGAATGTATACATTCCTGATCTTAGTTTATTGCCTAAATAATTAGGTTTCGGTTATACTGAAAAAGTACTGAAAGGTCTGTGATACTAGAGAACACTGGAATTTGTGTGTAGAAGGAATAAATTGTACTCTTGATAGTGAAGATCAACAAATGCAACTTGCCCCATACTTAACACAATGCATATAATTTCGTAGTCAACTGGTGACATGATTTCATTCTGTCAGGAGTCTAGAAAGGCCTTACTTTTTCTACCATAGTTAGACAGTCTCAAAGCGGAATAAATACATAGCTGAAGACAAAAAAGTGTGCTTTCTTTTTTGTTTCTCCTAATAGCAATTAATGAATCATTCAAAGATTTCTGATAAAAAACTGCTTTCTCAACACATCTCTGAAGAGAAATACACTAACAAAGAAGCAGAACTGAAGAAACTGAAAGAACTTCTGAAGCAAAGAGACAATGAAATCAGTATCCTTTATGAGGAAAAAAAAAAAAAGGGGGGGGTTGAGTTTATCTGGCTACAGTGGGTTTTGTGTGTGTGAGATAGACATTAGCTGTATGGATGGAAGTTCTCTCTGCTGACCCCACTGTGTTAAAGCAACTACTCAGTTCTCAACTTTTATATGGGAGAAGTTCTGCTTTGCGCCTGTTTCTGTTTCAGTTGTGACCCAAACCAAAATCCTGGACCCAAGCGTCACTTAGCTTTAGAACAGTCCAGCCAAGATCCAAATATCATGGATCAGGCCATACCTAAAACACTGTCCTCAAGTAAACTAAACTATTTTTTAGAATAGGAAACCCTGATGCTATATAAAGACCAATTTAATAGCTTACTAAGAATAAAATTCCCTCTGTGTGTTATTTTTTAGCCAAAGTGTTACTTTGGGGACTATTGGGTTATTGCCTTTAGAATAAATATAAAACTTGTACTTTTTACATGCAACTTTAAAATTTAAATTAAGGCTAAAGATTTCAGCAAATATAAATATTAAATTGCTCAGACATGCTTTGTCCATTTGACTGCCTCACAGGAAACTCATGAATAGCTGCACTGTTGCACGATAGGTGGAAGCTATTTTTAGGAGGTTGACAGAACAGTGCACAGAAGATAAAATAATAATTTTCCAAGGTGCACTTTCAAATAAATTTAGCTGTAACACAGACTTATTTATTTTGTAAAATTCTTCAATTTTAAGATTTGGATTCTCAGAAACATTCCTTCCTGGAATAAATTATTTCATGGGTATGAGATTGATATTGAAAAAAGCAAAACATCTCTATCTCTAACACAAGCTCTTGTGTTTAATAGATGTATATAGCTTCATTTGCAGAAGAATATGGAAGAAACTTTTTTAAAATCCATGTTAAAGTTTTGTAGGAAGAATATAAGAATTAAGACTTTGAGCACAACATTGATTTACAGAGTCTTTAGCCACTGACTGTACATCATCAGTAGAAAATTAATAACATGTCTAATATGATGAAGTGGTGGGAAACATGGAAGCTGTTTAGTCAATAAACTATGAGGTCCTTCTTGCCTATGGTAGCTAGGACCTATCATAATAACCAAATTGTAGTGTTTTATTATTACTACCTAGTCCAGTTAACAATATTCACCAAAGACTACTTAGATTTTTCTGCTGTTCATTTAGAAGATTAATTAGGAATAAAATGAATAGCATATCAAAAACATATCACAGTAGTTTTAGCTGAATGCACATAGGATTTCCTTTGTAAGCCTTCTATAAGCTATTAGGCAAAATGTATTTATACCAAATATACTTCCAGTAAATACATACTGATTTTGGAATAAATTTCCTAAAGACTTGTTCTGCATTTTAGTAGACCTTCTTTTTGTGAAAAGCTTACAAATGTGATGCACTTGTCAGGCTACCTGTAAATTAAGGGGTTTTTTCTTTTGTTTTGAAATTTTGTTTATTAGAGAATTAAAAAATAAAAAAGGGAATGTCACATAGTGGCAATAAGATAGTAGAGTTTTCATTCCTGTTTGTCTGTACATGCTTTTGTCAGGCATTGATTAAACGGGATCAACAATTGTGGTCAACATGTGAATTTGTTACTGTTTAGTAAAAATTAATCTGCTGTTTGGAAAAACTAAGGAGGATGAATATAATTACAAATAATATGCCCAACTCCAAATTCACTTTCACATATAGGCTTCCATAATGTGAACTGTTCCACTTATTAAAAAAAAGACTTAGGGGTAAACAAAGATGATTGTTGCTTTATAAAAAAGAGGTCATTAATGATTTCCTTAATGTATCTTGCAGATATTCTGGTAAATATGCTAAAACAAGAAAAAAAAAAGGCACAGGATGCTCTTTTCCAGCTTAATGCTGCCTCTGCTGGTTCTAAAGTCTTGGAGCACTCTTTTTCTATAAACTTGGAAGAAAGTCAGAGCCCATCTAGCTGTTTTAGTCTGAAAGAGGCAAAAGATTTCAGCTCTTCAGTTCGCAGACTACCTTTTCTTCCCAGAGAAACAGGTCAGTGTAATTAAGCAAGCAGTTGTTGGATTATTACAATATAATTTACAGCATATCATTCAAATGTGTACCAGAACAGGAAAATTTTATTTTCAATATCAACCATATTGTGCTAATTCTGTATCTACAAATACAAGGCTGTAAATTTATAGCCCTCTCAAGGTGCTGATGGATTTACAAACTGATGTGAATATTCTGTTGAACAGTTCTACAAAATCACAGTATAAATTCAGTTGCAGGCCCTTGAATCTTTGAGTAAATTCTCAGAAAAATACTTTTTCTGTATAATTCAGTAAAAAATACTAGGAAATAATGTTTTTCTCCTGGACAATTTGAAAATACTGACTTTTAACAGAAAAGAAATCTAAACTAGAACTGCTGATACCAAAAGAATTTTTGTACAGGCATTATTAATTGCACAGTATCCTTAAACACCAATAAAAACTTTTTTTTTTTTTTTTTTAATCTTCCAGCCTGGGAAAGAAATCTTACATTCAAATAAAATTAAATTTCATTAATTATGTTTCTAGTGTTAATATCAGATTGTAAACACAAAACATTTTGTGATTATCTTTAAGATATTTTTTTTTTTTTAATGCACTTTAGATATCTGGGGTTTATTTAACATCCTTAGTAAGTATTGATGGTTATTTCTATTGTTTAAAAAAAAAATGAATGTGATTTAATGAAGTGAGACCTTAGTTCCAGAAATGACAAATAGCTCCATTTTTGTGCATGCAAGTAGCTTTAGTGAATTGGTAGCTTTCTGGAGCAAGTCCTTAGCAAGTGTGAACAAAGTAAAAATTCCTATGGTGATGTATTTAAAAAATATATATTTAATTGTTTTTCAAGTGGTTTAATAATTCTCATTGTTGCAAACAAGTTACAGCTGAATTCATAAAAAATGCATTAATTTAGGATAGCTAACACACTCTACACTGTTTTACCATGTGCTGTGCTTTTGTCAGTAGACGAGTACTATTTGTCCACAGGTAACTGATAAAATGTTTTATCCCTTATAGTAAAGCCAATGTATTGTCATTCATACTTTATTCTAATTGAGCTGATTTGCAAATTTAAGAGGTGAGCATATCAAATGTAGTTCACTGAAAAAATAATTATTTGGGACAGATGGTTGGCACAGGGAGTCTGCAAAAATGATCAAGTATTATCTTTGTTTAATCAGTGAGTAAAAGTAACTGTAATTGATTCCCATCCCATGCAGATAATGAGTTTTAAATAACATCTGTCTGAGATGAGAAGGTAGCATATTTTGAGATAAGACGTTTTTTATATGATTGGATTCCACATTATATGGTTTTCTCATTCTGAAAGAAGCTGGAAACCTACTCCCTTCTTTCCAGTCCTCTTTTCAACCACTTCAGGGTCAGGTTCGGATATTCTGTGTCATTCCATGTGGACAGGAAAATGATGAAGTCCTCAATAACCAAGATGCCAATTGTGAACACGGAAGTCCTCCTTTAGGTTCACTTACATCTAATTTATTTTAAAACTTTTCAGTCTTATTTATCCGTAGATCCCAAATAATATAATTTATTTTTGGACTACTTTGGGTAGCCATATATCTCTGCATTCCTTTAGAGTGGCCTGACATTCTGCTGCAAGTCTAGTCTATGTTGGTAATGGTGCCATTTGGACTCACAGTCTTCTGTAATATAGAGCTGTTATAATAAAGCCTTAAAACATTATTTCTTAAAACACTTGCATTACTGTTCTCAGGGAATACTTAGAGTGGCAGACTTAAAAAGGTAGTAGAAACACTCTTAATAATACATGTACAGCCTTGCCAATATGCCTTAAACCCAATCTCAGGAGGCCAGTTGTCTCTGCAAGAATATCATTGAGTGTCCAGGCTCTTTTGTGCCCTTGTGTCTCTGAAAATAACAGTATTTTCTACCTAATGTATAAATAACTTGATTTTTCTCTTTCTTTTGTTTTATTTCTTAAAGTTCTAAAAGTTACAACTTTCAATATCTATCTTCATGTAATAACTAACTTTTATATTGAAAAGTTCTTGTAGACTGGAGATTATATATTTTTCAAGGCAACTTGTAGAGTTTTCACAGTTTGATTCTCCATGGTAACAAGAGACATATTTGAGAAAAATTCACTATGTAAAACTTGTAAGCATATTCAGACAGTTCATCAGAAAAAGTTGAAAAAGGTCTTGCTGTGTACTTATACATAGTACACAGAAAGCCATCATATCAGATGTAAAGTTTTGCTACAGAAGAATTTTAATGAAACCTAAATAATTTTTTTTAGAAGTATTAGAGCTTTTCATAGTCTTTAAAATTATATTTGAGATCTTTAAATTTTAAAATTATATTTGAGATTTTAAAATAATTTATAAAATACCAGAATGAATAATGACCCAAAATTTAGGAAAAAATAAAAAAAGTATTTAAAAACATGCGGTAATAGTTAGAATAAGGCCAGAGAACTCAAGAAAAAAAAAAAGAAAGAAAAAGGTTCTGAGAGACAAAGTTAGTAAAAAGAAAGACAAAACTAGGACAAAAAAAAAAAAAAAAAAAAAAAACAACAAACCAAAACAAAAAAAAATGTATAAATTACAGGTCAATGTTACATGAAGGAAAATACTGTATGCGTATGAAACATTCCACTTCCTTTATAGACAAGTTACGATTTTGAGATCCTTAGCTTCAAAGTACCATAAAACCTCAAATGCTTATTATTATTTTTCTGTTTTGATATAAAGCTATGACAGCACAAAGATACGTGGGTACATTCCTTGGCAGCCAAAAGCTCTTAGCTCTGTCTGCTAACGGCTAGGATATAGATCCTTCCTGTTCAACTCAGACCTGAACATATTTGTATGCTTCAGACTTGATTAATCTAATTTTTCTATCTAAGAATGAGGCAAAATATCTTGAAAGACCACCATCTTGTGAAAGGCATAGTGGTCAAAATGTATAGCAAGACAAATTATTTGCAAATATGTAATTTTAATACTCTGATATCTCCCAAATACTTATTCTGACTTAAGATTTTCCTTTTAACGTTAAAATTTCTGTATGGTTTGAAAATTTTCTCATCATGGTAAGTTTTTTATAGCCTACTACAGTGATGAAATTGTCAACTGCCTGGGAACGCTTGTGAAAAAATGGAAAAGAAATTCATTAGGGACCATTGCAAAAGTTTGAAATGCTTTTCTCAGAAGCTAGAAATTAACATAGACCTCATCAGGACTCATAACACATTCTTCTAATATTGTCTTTCACTCTTCAATTAATATGGCTATTAAAGAAATTCCAGAAACTTAAATTGTCAACCCCAAATTTATAAATACTGAATCATGCATCTTAAAAGATGAGATTCTAAAAGAGTGAGTTTTAAAAGATATGGAGGTATAAGCAATATTTACTGTTAATATTTTGGAAAATGTATTCTTCTGCATACTACATTCTCAGAACTACTTGAAACCATTCCTAGAACCTGATTTTACAAGATTTTAAGCATATGTTTCACTTTATCCATACAAATAATACCACGGGATTTACGTATGTGCTTAAATCTTTTTCTAAACAATTCAAACAGTGAAAATTATATTGACCAGTTAGCATGGATTGTGTAAGTAAGGGAGGTTTTACAGTGGTTAATAGAAAAGGGTTAACTGTTAAGCATTGCAGTTATCCTTCCTTACATCATCTAAACTGGTTATTTATGGCAATAAATAACAATACTCTTGCAAATTGTTAGTTTCAAAATCCACATAAGTCAACTTGCAGTAATTGTAGACAGTTTTTTGTTGCATAATTGCATGTTTTCTTTATTTTATAGTTGAATTGTTCAAATAAAAAGATTTGTTGGTGTCACTATGTTCTAGAAGTGTTAATATTTTCATTAATAAAGAAGATGCCTCATCCTAGATCATCATGTATAACTTTTACATATTCATGACTTCTTACTTTTCTGTATACTGATTTTATGCATTTTGTGATGATTTTTTTAATTGAAATGAGAGAATCTTCAGCTCAGAATTCAAACAAGTGGCAAGTGAAAATTTAGATTTTGCTACTGTCCTAATGTGAATACATTTCTTAAAATATTTAAGTTTGCCAATTATCCTCTAAAATTGCTCAGTAATTGAACTAGCAGTTGATTGTCACAAAATGTTGATTGTCTAAAACTTTAGTAGGATTGTGACTCTTAATTATTGCAGAGGAGATTGCATGCAAGAATGGGAAAGAAATTATCGTAGACAGTAAGCAGGAGAGAAGTTTAAAAAGAAATGAATATACAAGAATTGTATATCATGAGCCGCATTCATATGAGAGAACCAGAAGTATGTCTAAGAACAGAATGCTGAAAGAATTAGAAATGGAAATCTTAAGAGTTCTAGTGATCCTGGTTTCTCCAAATGAAAAATCCCTTCTTAAGTTTGGCAGTTTTTTAAGCATATGATTCGGGAAAAGAATTAACAAGTCATTAACATAATCAGACTATCAAAAGACACAATGAGATCCCACACAGAAGAAGGCTATTGATGAAACTGAGTAGTCAGGAATTAGGCATAAAATACTGCTTTAAAAAATATTAAAGATTATTGAAAGAGACTATATTAAAACTCCTTCATGTTTTATACTAGTCCAGTGATGAAAAATCATATTGAACCCTACAGAAGTCTGTATCGTGGGTTACAGTGGGTGTCTCCCATATTCTTTAGAATTCTCTAACACTGCCATGCTGCCACTTACCATATGGGATAGTAGTCTAGACTGATCTTGCATCTGTCCCCTTATGACAATGCCTATGTGTATTCTTAATTTATCTCCTAAAAAAGGAGAGGTTGAGAATTTGTTTGGTGATTTCTTTCTTCATCCTGCTTTTGTGTAGAATACTCTTTCATATAGCTTCTTTCCATTCCAAGTTACTCATCTGCTGAGCTGAGTAATCCCTTTGCCTCCTATTTTCCTATTTATCATGGTCCTTCTCATTTTTAGGAAGAACTTACTTGA